AGATTTGTACACAAGGGGCTACTGAACCGCTGCTTTTGACAAATCGTTCATTATTCGATCCTCATCTCTATGGAATTCCATCCCGCCTGTGATTTTTAACTTTGTGCCGCAGGAGTTCATCCTTGGGCTACTAACTAATCCTGGTCCAACCACTGTTGCTTTGTGATATTGTAATATTCTATATAAGATTGTTAATAGTAATAACATCATCGGAGATGCCCATCTTACTTTTCCTCAAAGGTGATGGTGCTTAACCCTCCTCCCTGCCAACTAATTTGATTGTTCATATATAATGGAAGTGAAAGTAAAGTTATTAAAATTGTAGTTTATTTTTTCACTTGTTTTTTGGCTTGGAAATTCCCTTAAATTGAAATTCTTCAAAAAACTAATAACCACTTGAAAATGTGCTTCACTCGAACATACATAATCCTGTAGAAATGTGCCTCCTCAAAAATTTTGGTGGCACAACCATTAATTTCAAAGAGAACTCTCTTAAAATCAATGTTTATGCCCTGCCACACTCTTCTAAAAGCCATAGGCATCATATCTTCCAATTAGCTGAATGTTTAACGGCTCCTCTTCACTAGCAACCGTTTGTCAAACAACTTGATAAGTATTTGTAAAATATGAAATGTGAAAGTCCGAATGCACCAATAGGGCATCCATGTATTTGGCAAGTCGCTTGACAATCATTTTTGGTTGGAGGGCTGTGGTGAAAAACATTATTAAGAAAACAACCTACAACATTTTTTTCCAGGAATATTATTTTTGGACCAGAAATTTTTTATTTCATTACTTGTAGAAATTGAATTTCCTTTCTAATAATCTAAAATAAGTTAATTTTCTCTCATTTTTAACAATTTTTAAATTAATAACACTGAAAATAGTACAAAGTAAAAACAATTAGTAACCAAAATTTATCAAATTTAACTTAAATTATTTAGATAAAAATAAGGTACTTTTGGAAAATTTAATTAATTCATTACAAGCATAGATGACTAGGATTTTTCTTGTGGGGTAAGCTTGATTAAAATCAACCACCTTCTTTTATCTCTCCCCCTTCCCAATTAAAACCAACAGTTTTAGAACACCATTTTATTAACATATTTCAGAATAAACAACTTATTTTTATTGATTCAACTAAGGCCAAAATAATACACAAATAAAAGAAAAAAACTAATAAAAAAACAGTAATCAAAGATTTTTATTTAACCTAAAAATACAACTTTCTTCATAATTTGATGTCCTTTTAATTCTACCTTTTGGAGTAAGTGACCCTATGCTCTACCCCTAGTTACATTCCTGAATGGTAGGCAAATATTGGGCAATGGCAATGACAAATGCCTTTGGTGAATGAAAAGCAATAATTGTGAATGACTAACACGAGGGCTAATGCTGGTCTTGATTGTACTTACAATAATAAAACAACATTCACAAATATTCCATCCAAACCAGTGGCCAACGATGTTGGACAAACGATTAACCACAGGTGTGGAATCTGGATAAATATATATATATTTTTTCAGTACATTACATTTATATAGTCTTTACTTGCAGTAAGGGCCAAAACTAGAAGCAAGGAGTGGGGTTCCTCAGCTGTAGCTTTTAAATGAAAAAAAGAAAATTACAGTCGACAATGAGTTAATTTTATGAGTTTATATTTATTTCCAAACATATTATGTAAAACATTATCATAAAACTGTTATATTTTATTAGAGATGGAGGGAGTAGAAAGAATGAAGGGAAAGGGCAGTAAAATTAAGCTTTTCCCTACTGGAAAAAATTCAACTTTGTCTTGCTTCTCTCTTTATTGAACCTCATTTTATACATTTTGGCACACTATATCACAAAGTTTTTTAAAATCAAAATAGTTGAGTAATGGAATGTGAAAATTATAAATCTTCCTGATTATAGTTTTTTTAAAACTGCCTTAACACTTTAATGCTTGCCCCATATTTATTGTAGAACTTATTTCCAAAGGTACAATTATGGGGAAACGAGGTATTAACTAGCAGTGTCAGATTTAATGAACTATGGGTATTAGTGTAACTAAATGATTTCTCCTATAACATTTGTATATCAATATTACAGGGTGGCTAACAGACAAATAAACTAAAATTCCCTGACTTTTCCATATTTAATGATAGTTTTCTCTGACCAATATGTCTGGAGACACAAATATTGAAATGCATAATTTATAATTTATTTATTATACATGAAAAAAAATTGACTACAAAATGATTTGAGTAAAAAAAAAAAAAAATCAGTCTTTTAAATAACAAATAGAATGTTTTAGAGGAATCATTTTTTAAGCTTGATTAGGATTTTTTATACCCATGACAAAATCTATTTTTCTCAATATTCCGCTATCAGAGCTAAAGCAGATTTTACTCAAAAAGATAAACAAATATTTAAAGTAAATTCACGATCCATTTGATGAACCTCATAACTAATATGTTGCACGGATGGATACAAAGATTCTGTTCCCGACACAATAATATTTTTTTAAAAACTAGCTGCGAATCTGACAGCGTTTTCTTCCAGTTATCCAACTAATGGAATTCAAAGGTTTAACCGACAGTTCATGAGAATTATCATGATGATGCTGACATATTCAACGCAGTGAATTACAAATATTTAAGAAGGCGATGTTCGGACTCTACAGTTTAAGGTCGAAGAATGTTCAAATGGAAGCTTATATATAGACAGAATTAAGAAGTTCATTACTTTATAACAATAAATAAATATGTCTATATATTATTACTTTATAAATATAAATAAAAAAGTAAATAAATGTCCATCAATATACATATTCCAAACAGTAAATAGTATTGGTATGTTTTAAAACAAAAAACATTGTTTTAAACTCATTTTGCTTAAATTTCATTCATTACCGTCATTTGATTTCAATATAATGATCAGTGTCGCTATTGACAGTCAAAGGTGGATGGATATAGTGACTATGGTCTTTTATTATGACGAAGTTTACCCTTTCAAGGTTGTTATAAATGATATCCACTGAAAATTTATTTCCAATTTGAAAACAAAAAATTACCTATTAAAAAAATTCCCTGACTCTTCTTTGTTTTGGAAATTCCCTAACTTTTTCCGTGTTTTTCGGGTCGGTCGCCACCCTGTATTATTAAGTAGGAACAGTAAATCTACAAAAGTTTTTAAATCTAACAATAAAACAGTCCTATTGGTGACAGAGGGACTCCTTTAAATTGTTATTTGTCAAACTATAAATATAATGCTTTTTTTTTTGTTTTCATGGCATGACCTTATTAGAGTAACTTCAATCAATTGCTTTTTTAAAATAGTTCATATATTTCCACCTCTATTCAATCTTTGACAAATCATTTTGGTAGCTTTCTCTTATTTTGCTGACTGAAACTGTGATAACCACTATAGCTTCAAAAGTTTTTTTTTTTCTATTTGTTCAAGCTGATAAAATATACATCTTTCTAAAATCTGTTATTTTTTTTTCCAATTATTAAGAAAAATAGAATGAATATATTTTCCATAAAAAATCATCAAGCTTCATAAAATACAAACTATCATCAGAATTTATAATATAAATTAAAGAAGATGAAGAGAATAAAAATATTTCTTTATATTATATTTTTTACAAAACATATAAAAAAAGACATGGCATTCATTATGGTTAGCAGTGCAGCATGCTCCTATAAGTCTGTGAGCGCACCAGTGTGCTCAGTCCTCACCATTCAAGGTTCTATTGTGCTTTTTAGGGATACAGAGAAGCCTTTTTCACCTTTCTAGTATTTTTGAAGGATTAGAGAATCGAAAAATTGACAGCTTTGGAATAACTTTCATTGTTGAGAAAATAAAAGCCCTTATAGCTTATGAAGGTGAACCACAGTTTTCCTTTTATTAATAAATTAATATACATTATTCTTTGGAATATAATTTAACTCTCAAGTTACTATTTATACTAATGAAATAAAGTAGTCAATTTGTTGATCCCTAGCTCATAACAAAATAAATAACACTAATTACTTTTATAAATGTTTTTATACATTATTATTATGTATATATGATTCACTTGTAACTGGTATATTTTTTAAATATCTTTTTTACTTTAAATATAATCGTCAATTTATTGCAAAAAGTCATTATTATAATGATTGAGCAAGACTTTTAAGAACATATTTGTGAATTCTTGTTATATTTATTGATGGGAACAACTCCTTAAATGTAAATATTACCAACCCTGGTATATATTAAAAAATATTTACATGTCTTGATATCATAGAGGGTAAATTAATGAAATTACTAAGCGATTTAGGTAATTGTCTGAAATGTTAGTTAATGCCTTTTTTGGTGTAAACCTAATATAAAAATTTATGTTAAAAGGTGAGAGTTACATAATTGAAATTATGAAATTGAATTATTATTGTTATCACCGTTGGTGGATTCTGACATCGCTCATTTGCTCATATTTCTTTCTTTTTTTTTTTTTATGAACATTGGTTCACAGCTCTATGTTTCACACACAATCCAACTCGGTTGGTGATTCAACTTAATGCACCTAACTTATCCTGTAGATCACTGAACCATTGTGTAAGAAGACATAGATTGTTGGCATAGTCGAAGATCTCAAGCATGAAGTATGAAATAGAATAATGGTTTTTAATTTTTAAGTAAATATAACATTTTATAAGGATGAAAAATAGTCACAATACGCAGTCATGATTGCATATTCTGACTATTTTTCATCCTTATAATTTCAACACTCAACAATATCCCCATGACACTATATAAATAAATCCTCAACTAAAGGCAAATTCATTCTCACAAACAGTGAGTGCCTTATGGGTGCTGTGTTTAATTTTGGTGAAAAACATCTATGGAAGTTTGTAATAGTTTTAAACTTACATTAAACAAAAAAGAAAGTAGTTAATATTCAATGGCAGTAATATTCACCATTTTTGTTAATTAATTTTAGAAAATTAGGGATAGGAAAATAAATATTATCATTTGTCAAAAATTAATATATTATCACGATGCATGCCTCAAATCTTCTAAAACAAGTTCAATCATATTCTTGACACCCACATAGGAGCCAGTAATAACACCGACAACACTCAGCAGTATAGCTAAAAAATTCATAACAGTTCTAAAAAAGTTTTTCTTCAAAACAGGTTCATTGCCATATCTTAAACAGTAGTCTGACAGTGCTGGTAGCAAGAGAGCCAGGGCATTGCTGCATAGAACTCCGATCAACGATACAACTGCATCAATATGTGGTACCACAAGAGCGATAATAACTAAAAAGAAAATTATATCATTAGTATAATACCAATATAAACGAATGAGACTGATAAGCTTTTGATAGTTAAATTTATTGTAATGCGTGAATAAGTTTGCAGTTTATCATTAATCATACATTTAATTACGTACATTCTAACCAATAGAATCACAGAATATGCTACATGAATCATCAGAGATTATTGAGGAGAAGTTTAAGTGAAACAGCACATACACATTAACATATGCAAGAAACAAATAAATTATTCATAAATATTTTCCTTTCAACAAATACAGGAAAAGTAATATAAATTCACCAGCTCAGCAAAAATAAAAAAAAACTTAAGAGTTCTATTGGCCATTAGAAGTTCTGGTACAGTTTTAAAGAATGTAAAATATCAAATAAATAGGTAAATAAAGAGCGATAAACATGTCTAAAACATTTTAAGATGAAATTTTGTACTATTAAATTTAAAAAAAGGCAATCACTAAGTGTTGTGAAATTTGGCACAAAACCACATCCTAAGAAAAGTGTTCAAAAATGGTATCACTCATTGGTGATGGGGAGAGCAGAGCGAAGAAAAAGTTGATACCTCCCAAAAAGCCTTTTCCCTAACATGAAATAAATTTAGATACAAATTTTCAACTATGTAAATCAATTATGAGAAGTTGTAGAAGTCCACTTCTTCTTCTTTTGCATCACTCTGTAGTGCCTTTCAGTGTAAAGGAAAATCTAACCAGGATTGCCAATTTTCCCTGATTCTTGCAAGATTTCTGACTTGACGCATATTCTTATTTCTATTTTTGCACAGGCAGTCTACATATTCGAGGTACGACATTCTCGGTCTGCCGTGGGGTCTTCTGCCATTGGGGACGTAGTCCATAGACTTTAATGGATCTCTGTGTTCTTCCATCCTGATGACATGCCCAAACCACTTAAGCTACCGAGTCTTTAGGACATCCTTCATTGGGAGAATCCCCGATTCTTCCCTGATTCTCTCATTGTGAATGCAGTCCCATCTCGTTTTCCCTGCGATCCTTGGAGAAAACTCATTTCTGCAGCAGTGAATTTTCTCTCAAGTTTGTCAGTCAGCAACCAGCTTTCTGCACCATACAGGAGTATAGGCAAGTATACTGCCTTAAATATGTGCAGTTTTACACCTCTGCTCACTTCTCTCTTTCCGATCACAGTATTGCAGACCTGGTAATATATAGCGTTTGCTTTGCTTATCCTGTGCAGAATTTCTGAATCCACTTTCCCAGACCGATCCATAACAGAACCAAGGTAGGTGAAATCTGACACAACTTCCATCACCTCTCTGTTGCAATACACTGTAACATCTTCCTGCACCCTTCCAACCTGTAGGATCTTGCTCTTTCCTGTACTGATGACCATACACTTCCTGAGGAGCTCCTCGTTCCATTCGTCAACTGCCTGCTGTAATTTCTCCACAGAATCAGCAATCAGGACGATATCGTTCACATATAGAAGAAACTGAAATACAACTGGAAGCAGATTTCTTTGCCCCAGAAACGTCCTTTCTGTTCGTCTTTTGCAGATTGCAGCAATTTAATATAAGTAACAACGGGCTTAAACTATCACCTTGTTTGACCCCCCTAGCTATGCTAAAATAGCCAGATTCCTGTCCATTCAGTCTGACTATTCCTTTTGGATTTTGGTATATGGATTTAATGGCCTCAACCAGGCTTCTAGGAACATTTTTTACTCTTAGTGTTTCCCATATTTCGTTTCTTGGGACTGAATCAAGAATTCAGTCTGGCTGCCTTTTTTATGTATGGGAATTATGACATTATATTCACATTCTGTAGGAATCCTTTTGCTGTCACAGGCTTTTTAAAAAAGTATTTGGAGAGACCTCACTAACTCCATCCCACCATACTTAACAAATTCTCCAATTAAATTATCCCATCCTGGAACTTTTCCTGTTTTTATCTTTTCAATAGCTAGCTCTACCTCGTCCTCCCCTATGACCTCGTCGAAGTCAGCCTCATTCCAGCGCGCCTCCTGACTGTTCCCTGGATACATATGTTCGGTGATAAATTGTTTTTCGTAATGTCACCTCTATACCTCCAGGATGCTTTTGTCCTCCGAGACCATTTTTCCTTGCTCATTCTTAATATTTCTTACTCCTTTGCTTGTTCGGCCTCTCAGTGCTTTGATTTTTTTCCGAAATAGTTTTGTTTTCCCCGTGGTCCTGGTTCAACCTCTCTCCATATTCTTCTCATGACCTCTTCTTTGCCATTTTAACGGCCTCCTTAGTCCAGTCCAATACATATGACTGCCATTTTTCTGTGGTTTTGACCCTGCAATAATTCCTCCAGGCTATTTTCTTTTTTTGACCAATGCTTTTAATTCATCGCTCCACCATGCAGTACGTTTACCTTTTGTAAGTATTCTCTTGACTCCGCAGACCAATGTAGCTGATTCCAGAACACTGTCCTTTATTGGTTTCCAAACATCCTCCAACCCAGCGTCCGCATCCAATTCCTGAAGTTTTCTCTTCAGTTCATCTTCATAGCTCTGTCTTATCTGAGGGTCCTGAAGCTTTTTTACCTCTATCCTATCGTACACTTTTGGCTTTGTCTTGGACTCCTTAAGTACCCTGGTGTCGGCTACCAGTAACATATGGTCACTACCTATCTCCGCTCCTCTAATAACCTTTACATCTGAGAAAAACCTCCTGATGTCTCGGTCATATATGAAATAATCTATGACGCTATTTGCATTTCGCTCCATGGCAGAGAAGGTAATTTTGTGCACTGGCTTGTGAGGAAAATACCAATTCCCAATAAGCATGTTGTTGTCCACACAAAAACGATCAGTCGCTGACCGCTTTCATTCTTTAACCCCTCGCCTCCATGCGGACCCATCACACCATGTGCTCTCGTATAGTCATTGCCTGTTCGTGCGTTGAGGTCTCCCATTATGAGAATACTCCTATTAATATTTTTGTTTTTTATCACCAAACGTTCTAGGTCTGCATAGAACTATTCATAAACTTTAAAAGTCCACAAAATCTTTAAAAAAGCTAAATCCTACAACAGCAAAAAAAAGGTTGAGTCTAGAGAAAAAGTTAAAAATCCTGAAAAGGACCTTTCCAATGAGAGATGAAGAGATTAACTAAATTTGCATACAAATTTTCACCATTGTAACTCGATTAAAAGTGGCTGTAGAGGAATGAAAATCCTTAAAAATCGGAAGGGGAGAGGAAATCACTAAAAGATGATGGGATGAGGAAAAAAGTTGAATCCAATGACACTTATCTAACACCAACTTTTACATACAAATTTTCAACATTTTAACTCAATTTGGTGGGGCAGTTATGGAGCAAATAGTCTTAAAAGCCAGGAAAAAAATGGCAGAAGTGGAGGATAAAAGTTTAGACCCCAAAGCGCATATTTCCAAAACTAAAGTTTGTTATTACTTAATTTATATAATAAAATTCAACCCTTTACCTTTGTTTGAAAGGAGTGTATAGGTGTGCAAAACTTTAAAAAATAGAGGAAAAAAACTGCTTGAACATTCGAAAATTTTACAAAAGTTATGTCTTCAAATATTAACATTACTCAATAGATAATATAATTTAAAAACTTAAATAAACATACAGGTTGTAATAATCAGAACTACTCTCTCTGATGACTCCATACAATGATCATGTTTAAATGGACCCCATACATCATCAATATCCAACTTTATAATCTTCGCAGCAACATAAAACTGCAGTGGATATGACAGCATTATCCCAGTACCTACTGCGGCCTTCACTGTTTCAGCCAAACTATAAAATAAAATAAAAATTAAGATATTTTTTTACATTTATTTATTTTTTCTTAATATCTCAATAAGAAAGGACAAATTTTAAAAAAAATATTAGCATTTTCGCACCCATGATAATGCCAAAATTTTTTGTGAAGAATGACAGGTTTTTTTCTATCAATTTGAGTATAACTTAAGCGAGATTATGTTTGCAGATTCTTAATCAACTGAAGTTAATAAATATATTTTAAGTCTGTAAAATAAAGAGTTGTGTTTTCTCTTTTCTTTTCTTTTAAACATTTTAATAGCTCTAATTGCAACCAATAAAGTATGAACCATTTAGAAAACATGTTTATTTTATAAAAGAATGCTGCTGATAACAGATTCAACATCTGTCAGTAGAGGTTGTCAGAAATCACTGTCAAGTATTAGTGTTTTTACTTAAGAATTTATTTTTTCCCAATGTATTTCTCAATTTCATTAGGACATAAACAATCAAAACTACACTAGATACAACAAATCTCTCATCGACCATAAAAAATTATATATTAACCCCAGCAGTAACAAGTACACTGTTCCATCAAATACCAACACAAACTCAATGTGTGAAGAGTACATATAAATGTGGGTACTTGTGATTTAGGTTGTTTTTGTCCTGGAGATGACTGAATTGGTAAAACATTGATGGGTTAGTTTGGTTATCAGTCTTTTTAAAGACTCAGGGCATTGCATATGGAATTTTCCAATCATGTTCAAAACATTCTATATTAATAGCATTGATACACCAACTCAACTGTTTATTTTAATCAAGTTACTCTCTTAATCACTCTCAAACTTTCATAAAAAATCGTTGAAACAGGAATGATATTTACGTACAGATCTTTACCCAAATTGAAGGTAACACTTCCATGAACTTCATCACCATAATTCAAATAAGAAAGTAACCCTAAACTGAGTAACATCGTCATTATTACTGACATTCCAGCATTAAGGACTCCAAATTTTGAATCAAATTGTTCAGTTTTATTCATCTCATTCTTAAGAGGAATAACCTGGAAATAAAAAAAGAAATAACTTGTAACAAAGCATAAACATAAGCATATTGAATATTTGAGGACCATTTGTTCATATTTAAGTACATAGTTAGTGCTGGCTTTTAGACATTTGGGAGCTCGGGTAATGACATCATCTTCCCCTAAAATATTTTATTTATTTTATAAACTGTTTTATATTAAGTAATATTTGAATTGTAATTTGTTCAATATATATCTTTAATTCAGTTGATTTATTAATAGGCTGAAATGAATTATTCTCATATGCCTTGTAATTTTTTTTTAATTTCTAACAAGTTGCGTGTATCCCATTCTGGTTTGATTCCCCGTGCGCATACCCAGGTTCCTCTCATCTAAAGTCAGCACTGCCTCTAATTCAGTTACTTTCATAATAAATGCTCTATTTTTTTATGATTCTTAACAGGTGATGGGCATCTCTCCAGGTCGGTGCTCCTGGGCAATTTTCCGGGTTGCCTGACCTTAAGGCTCATATTAAATTTTTCTTATAACTACCTGTGATAGATTTGCATGGTTTATTTCAGAAAATTAAAACCACATGATCAATGGTGTTTATTTTTTTTCTTAAAAAAAAATAAGGCAAACCATGGCAAAAGCCATATTGTGATACAAATCCATTCTCCTATTATAGCATTGATTGTTCTTAGAGGAATAAATAATCTTCTCGGGTTGTATCTCATATGACAAAAAAATTTATTATTTTTTTTGTTTTCTAAATTGTTTAAATACAAAAATGCCATATAGTATAATATAAATAAAATAAAACTGCTAAATTCACATTTTGGAGGTCACAAGACAAAAAAGCAATATATGAAATTGACCTTGGGACTGAAAGGGTTAAATATGGACATAAGTTTATTCTAAAGAGTTATGTATTCATGATTTACTTACTAGTGCTATTCCTTCAAAAGAAAAAATAATAGTTCCAATAAAAAGTGGCCACTTATCCATACTTTGAACGAATTTTCTTTCACTGATAGAAAAGGAAGCATCCTTTATTATACATATGAACACAGCCACTACACCATAAATTAGACATGCATTTGATACGAATGAAATAGGCGTTAGGAATTTGAGCGTCCGAATCAGACTGGCTAAGGTTATTAAAGGAAACAACATGATCATGTAAGCACGAACATTTAAATTGATTCCATCTAAGTGACTCTCAACCACCTGAAACAAAATTAATATATTCCATTTTTTTAAGCAGCATGTTTTATAAAGTATTTCAGCAATTTTTGGATAAAAGAATAATCAATAATTAATATCTAAGCTAGCTAACCATTTTGTTACAAAGTATAAATATGTAAAAACCAATTTTAAAATACATCACTCATTAACAATGTATGTAAATTTAGATTCAGGTTTATGATGGACTAAAGAGAAAGCCTGATATTAGAAAAAAAGTTGTATTTCGTTATAAATGTAATAAGGCTGTCTTAGACTTGATAGACTAATATTTATAGATAATTATTACTTTTCTTATTATCATTCAAACCTTACAAGGAGTATATAAGATTATACAAGAGCCTTAACAACTTCAGAGCATACTGATTCCTTCTCAACTTATAAATGAAGAAATATACAACAATTATTTACTAAAACCAATTATAAGACATTATGAGACAGAACTTCAGAAATAAAATACATACAAAACTCAAACAATGCAGTACAAAATATTCATAGCAATTCAACACACTTCTAAACATCCAAATTTCCAACAGTACATATATATTAAAATACCAAATAAATTCTATGCTTCTACCTAACATTATCCCAGCCATCTCATACATATTATTTTTTCCTCCCTATTACCTAATTAACATAAAATAATATATCAGGTAAAACAGAAATACCACAGAGGATTCCTTTTTGATTAAGTTTAATTTTTCTCTAATTTTTTCTATCAATCAATTAATTTATTAACATGCATCAAATAATTTTATTTTATAACATTATTTTTCAAGAAAGAAAAGGCAGACAGACTCTATTTTATCCACTCGATTGATTGGCTCTAGTCTAGTTTTTAGTTTAAAAACAAAAGAAAATATTTTGTGATGCGTTCAAATTATTATTGGTGTACTATTAATATAAATTAGGAACAAACTAACCAAGAGACAGAATATAAATATTAGGTTATAATTTGGAGAAAATTCTAAACCACACAGCGTTATGTCCCCAAAATACAGGCAAAGAAAACAATCCTGTGAACGTTTCAACAATCAGGCATCATCAGGACAGAAAAATCATCATTCCATGACATCCAAATACATACTCATTTAGAGTATGTCTTATCTCTCTCTCTCTCTCTCTCTCTCTCTCTCTCTCTATATATATATATATATATATATATATATATATATATATATATATATATATATATTGATTATTAAGTAAAATAATTAAAAGATCACTTACTTCTTTTAAAGACTGCCCAACAAATCCTATGTATACAACACAAAAACCAAGTTGCGTGATAAGTATAAAAATTTTGACAATTCTCCTAAATCAACAAAGAAAAACCACATTAATAGACAAAACAATCAACAAAGTACACACACTTATTTTTATTATTAACTTATTATTTATATACAAATAGCATATAAAAAACTGAATACAATACAAATTATGTTATAATAAAGAATGAATAAATAAAACTTAAAATTTAGTGTCACATAAGTCATTATTTTTTCATTTCAATTTTAATATGAAAAAGCAGTTCTCATAATAAATAGATTAAATAAAATATATCATCAGCAAAAGTGTGAAGATATGAATGTCCAGAAGTTTAGATTTGGGGCTACTCTATGTTTGCTTGAATTTTAAATTTTTTAAACTTCACAGTACCTATATCACTTGCTGCTAAATAGTATTAAAAAACAAAATAATATCACTAATACGGAAATTTAATTTTATTAAAATTTTTCCTGAAATTTTGAATTTGACAGTTATATTTTTTCACACTTTTTTTGACAGTATGATCAGTAAAAGAAATAGGTGGTTTTAGTGATATAGATATTAAAAAAATAATATTTATTCTGGGGCTATACCTCACTAAGAATAATTATGAAACTTGTGTGGCCAGTACTACTAATTATAAAAGAAATAATGTCAACATGTCATTGTAAATAAGCATATAAAGTGGGATAAGCAGGGAACAAATCACTAAAGAGATATTAAACACCGAACTGGTGGTGGCTAATTTTCTGGAAGATAGATTGGAAAATACATAGAAGGGTTGTGTTAAGTCTGATCTCATAAATTTGGGCTATGATGGGTTTTAGTAGATGGGAAGTAAATATTGAATAATATTGTTGGCCCTATCAGAATTAAAACTCTGGTTTCATTAATACACACAGTTATATATTGATTAATTGTTAAAAGTAATATTATTTTAAATAAAGAACTATTGTATGAACCAAATGACGTTCCTATCATAGGAGGATTACATAAGAACATTGTAAACTGAAAAATTGAACAATATTAGATTATTTACTATTTATTTTTAATTATGTTGTCGGCAACATGTTAAAGAAACAAATGTGAGCCTGCTTAATATTGTACATTTGTTACATTAAACGGATGCTGACGATATGACTATTATAGCTGAAGATAATGCAGTAAACATTCATTAAAGTATTTCTATCTTAAATTTTATGTTTAAACAACATTTTATAATGGATTTTGTTTTGGTATGATGGTGAAGCTTGGACAAATAAACTTATATAATTGAAAAAAAAAAGTGATAGTTTTATATATTCAGATTTAAAAAAAAAAAGGATCTGAATAAAAAAATAACCACTAACAGTACATTCAGCTTCCCACTGCTTGAATGAACCGTGCAAAATCTTCAAGGCACCTAATCAGATTTGCTATAATTTGTGTGGTTTCAACCCATGTCTCAAATTTATTTCATTAGCGTTACAAATGTGCTACCTTAAAATTGGCTCACTTTGAATTGGAAATTTTGGCGAAAATAATTGGCAATTTTTGCTATCATTGAATAAAAGTTGATATTTCTCTAATAAATATTAAAAATGGAATACAATATTGTAAATTTGAAAAGCACATTTAGTGAAGGTCGATAGAAAAAACAGAGTTCTCTTCTTATTTCCAAAGATATTCTAATCCGACACCATCATGGAACTACTTTCAACTAGTAGAGTTTCAGATTAACACTCACCTATCCAGTAAATTCCATCATGCCCTATATGTATCTACCATATACAGTTGATAATGTGTCTCATTCTATGTACACATAGACAGTCTCTTCTACAATTTATAGTGAGCAACTTGGTCCAGTGGCTATCCTACTGATTTGAAAGCTCCAATTAGAAAATTTTCTTATTCTCTCTGCCTTAATTGTAACATTGGAAGCCATATGAAGCTTTTGCAATGAGAATATATGATGCTCTGACTTAAAATATAATAGAATATCACTATACTGAATTTGGTAGGTACCTGAGAAGAAGAAGCAACTAGGAATTAAGAAGAGCATTAGTTGAGAGACATAGAAGGAAATAATTTAAGGTGTGATGAATTTTATTAGTATGCATAGCTTAAAATACTCATATTCAAGCAGGAATTTACAGTGATATTTTATTTTATTAGAGAAAATACTTTTCACATGGTTTTCAAAGATTTTTTTTTAATTGCCATACAACATTTAATGTTTGTAACAAAACTGTAGATATACAAGAAAATTAATTAATTTTTAATCACACAGGAATATCCAAATCCAATGGGTTAAAAATTAAACAAGGTAATAAAATAATTGAAATGAATGGTAGTAATCTTTTTTAGCATAATTTATTGGGGTTTAACATAATTGTTAAAAAAAAAGAAAAACATTAGATTAATCGTAGATTAACAGATATGATGAAGATAAGAGTAAGCTTTATCAATGCTTTATATGATTGTTTCAGTTTATGTTTGTCAATATTCTTTTTTCTTATATATAGTAACAAGATTTTTTTTAATTTTATGAATTACCATGCCAATTAGTCAATATATTAATACTAATTTTAATAAATTGAAATTCATTCAATGCCATATAATGTTGAGATATTTTTTATCATAAAACATAGAAAAAATTTGGAAAAACATAAAAATTATTTAACTGTAAATAATTACTAGTATTAATTTGTTTTAAATTAAACAATTCATACTTAATTTGTGTTGATAGTGATTTGAAGATCTTTGGTCCAGTTTCAAATGAATAAGAAATTGTTTCAGGAAACGTTGGGGCCTCCTTTAGTCCTTTATGAGCTATAACTGCATTGGCACATCTTACCTAAAAAATATTTTTTTATAAATCCCATAAAACAAAAAAAAAGTAAATATTAAACAGGGTGTTCAATATAAATTGGCTCAAATCCTTCTCATAACTAATTAAAAGTAATTGTAAATTTCAAGAGGGAAAAATTGTAGCTTTACTTCTATAATTTTCACAGCCAATATTGCCTTTTAACTCTGATGGAAAACGCGCAACGGAAACTGGAGGTTCATTATTAAAAAAATTATCAAAGATCCTGAAAAACGCATTTATATTGAAACATCATTGTTGTGAGTTTTTCATTGACTTTCAATTAAAAAAGCTGAATCTTTAGTCCTGCTTTTTTTTTTTTTTTTGAAAAATGTAAAAAGTAGTTTGGGAAATAATTTTTACTCAGTTATGAAATGAAAATTGTTTGAATTAGGACAATAGAAACACGTTCTAAAATTTCAGTAATCGTGTCTTAGTAACTTTCACTTTATTTTTGGTTTTGTAGTATTTACGTATTCTCACCTGTAAATAAACTTACCTGCCTTAGCATTTCATTTAATTTTTAAATATATAAACTTACATAAATGTGCACGTCCAAGCACGGATGTTATCCCAACCAGATGTAACCCTTTTTTGGTACCCATTATCTCCCTAATGGGAGATTCTAATGCCAAATTAAACAGGACAGATGAGAGGGAATCACCTTGTTTCAAAAACGAACGAACCTCAAACTTTTCGGATAAATGATTACTAATTCTAACTTTATTGAGTATTTTTGTCAAGCACATTCTAACTAGATTTACTAACTTTTTTGGAATCCCTGCTGGATTCAATTACCTGGATTAAAATGGTTTAAATAGAATCGTAAGAGATACCAAATGTATTAGTAGTTAATTGCAAATTAATTTTAATTTAAAAGTAAGGAGAATCCTCAAATCAGTATAGAGAAAATAACACAATAAAGAAAATTGTGAAACAATGAATGTTATATCTAACTCAATTGTGAGAAAATAAATAAATTAATTAACATTCTGAATTATTCTTCTTTCTCGTGCTCTTGTGCCTTTCAGTGTCGAGCACGAGCCTCATTCCACTTCCTCCATTCATTTTTATCTTTGGCCATTTGACACATCTGACCCCATGTCTTTCCTCTCATCTTTCCCAGCCGTTCCAGATGCTCTTTGTAAGTCATCCTGAGTCGTCCCACAGGTCTTCTTCTTTCAGGTTCACTTCCATACACCATTTTGTCTGGTAGGAATCTGACATTCTGCTCACATGCCCCAACCACCTGAGTTGTTCCTCTTTTTTTGCATTCATGGAGACTATATCTAATTCATCCTGAACAACTTCATTATGTATATAGTCTCTCTTTGTCTCTTCTAAAATCCTCTAAAATATCTTCCAAAATTCTTCTCTGGAACATCATTTCCATGGCAGTTATTTTTGATATATGCTCAATGACAAAAATCATTACAAAAAAAAAATGTTCTTATGGGATGAATGAACCATTCATAAGATGTAATAAAAAACATCCCACTGGCTTTGTGAAGTGAGTACAATGATACTTTGTTCCATTCAATCACAACGAAAATATCAAGAATTATGAGAAAAATAATAAACAAATATCCTTTAAAAAAAAAAGAAAAAAAAAAGATCTTTACCAATGTGTGATTGTTGTAAATGCAGATAAGACCAATAAAGAGAGTTCCAAAGAGACCAAGAACTATGCCAGAGTTCTTGAAAGCATCACCCATGGCGAAAAGTCCAGCTCCAACATTTCCTTTCAGGAAGTGAACCAGAGTTTCAAAATATCTTTAATAAAGAATATACAATTGTTATAAATAATAATAAATAATAGGACAGTAATAATAATAAAATGGAATAATAAAAATGTATTATAAATGGGCACTTTCCTAATTACCAAAACAAATAAAGAAAAAAGGTATAAAAATATACTGTCATAAATCGATTACAATGGACCATTTGATAGTAAATAACAAAAATGACTGCTATATATAGATACATAACTTAAAAAACAGGCCATGGGTGCCCAGAAGGGGATAGCATGGAGCAAATTGTGCCATCAAAGTTATTGAGGGAGTGGTATATGTTTTTAGGGTTTTAAATTTTTGGAAAGTTTTAATTTGAAGAAATTGTCATGCATATTATGATCAAGAGGAAGATGTAGGAAATTCAAACAGAAAGTGCCTCTTCTCTCCATTTTTCCCTCCCAGTACTGAGGCCTATGGCGTTGAAAACCATGGTCAACACAGGATGACTTTTTACAAAATTGAGATATAAAATGACTCATTTTTCTTTTTCAAACCTTCCTCAGCCTTTTAGGCTATACGGGATTTTCCCGGACCATGGGGGGAGGGCGGAGGTTTTAAGGGCAGAGTTAAAAAACGACCCACCCCGGCACCAGGACCCGAACTCGCAACTATTTTTCCACTTAACAGCTTCAGTTATCAAGTTGCGCGGTGCTGTGCACACGCATCAGCCCACTTAACACCCCGCCCTTTAATGAGTTCACTAATAGAAAAGGCTCATAGATTAAAGGTTTTTTTTTTTGCTCTTTCGGCTACACTGGATTTTTTTCCGGAAAGAGAAGAAGGGCGAAATATTAATACCAGCTTTAAAAAGCTCCTACAGCACCGAGACTAGGACTAATCTACAATTCATCAGACTCCGCCAACCTGGCGCTCAAAGCATAAATGTTTTAGAGCAGTGCCGGCCTTAGACATTTAGCGCCCCCTCCCTCCGGTCAATGACGTCATATTTCCTTCTCAAAAAAATTAAAGTATGTAATACTTGAATTTCGTTTCATCCAATATTTCCCTAATACAGTTGCTTTATTAATAGGCTAAAATTAATTATTTGAATACGTTTTGTTTTGTTTTTTTGTTTGGTTTCTATCAAGTGGCGAGTGCCCCAACAAATCGAGTCTCCAGGTCGGCGCCCCGGGACCATTGCCTGGGTTGCTCGGCCCTAAGGCACTGTAGTAGTAAGCCTTGTTGCCGTAAATGATTAAAATTTTGAACTAATAATTTAAATGTCTTTTTGAAGTGAAAACTTTTTTAGGCGCACTTTGCACTTTTTTTGTGGATTGCGAATGAGACTGAGCCGTGAGGCTCGAATATTTAACGCTAATTCCGGTAAAGTCGGCTGGAGTCGACTAATTGAAGTGTTTTTGTATTTGGATTAAAATATATCAGAAACTAAAAATCGGACCTGCATATTGTAATGGAGGAAAATGTTCAGCATTTCTTTCTCTTTGTAATGAGGTATAATTCAAAATTGTATTTTGACGTGACACCGAGTTAGAGAGTCGGAAAAAAAAAAAAAAATGATAGTGTCTAAAACCAAATGATAACGAGTTTTGTTGAACATTGAGATTAATATACCTCAAAAACTAAAATTCAGACCTGGATACTGTGAGCAAGGAAATTTTCAGCATTACATCATTTTTGTAATGAGCTATAAATCAAAATTGAATTTTGAAGTGACGCCGAATTAGAGAGTCCGAAATGGAAAAAGATAAGTGCCAAAAACCAAATGATAACGACTGTTTTGAATGTTTGGACTAAAATATCCCAAAATTTAAATACATTGAAGAATTCAGAAACCAATTTGTGGAATTCAATATAGATTTTTTTTTAATTAGCCTTGAAAATAAGAAATTACCTGTTTCTATTTGATTTTCTCTTGTACTCCGTAGAGTTTCAACAAATTACTGAATCCCTTACAGAATTTATATTAAAAAATATGGTGGGCGCATCACACAACTTGCACTTACCACTCTATTATGAATAGAAATTATTTTCTTGACTCAATCAAAATAGACTTGCTTTTAGAAGTCTTAAAGCCAAAATAGAACAAAAAAAATTATTTTCTGGCAATGTTAGCTATTATAAAATTTTTGAAATGCATTTTAAACGGAGCTAAACCTTAAAGCTGAAGGATAACAAATCATTAAGACCATTAAAATTACAAAAATCTATTTATTATATTGACGGTAAGCAATAATAATCTAGTTACTACATCTGTTTTTATATGACTAATTCAGATTTCAACAATTTTAAGTAATGTCATTTTAATGATATTTTTAATTGGAAAAGTTATATCTATACAGACAGTGAGTAAGTTGATTCCAGAATAGATGATTGCAATGTTGGAGTATAGAACAGTGAATAAAGGTATAAATTTTGCTTCTAGAAACATCACTAAAATTAATAATGAAGAATCTTGAAATTGGAGTTAGTCATTCTGTCAATCGAAAGACTCATATATGGCTTTAGAGATTTGAAAGTATATCTGAATATTTAACCTATAAATTATTATCGATTATATGACTATTAGTTATTAAACTGTCATTATCCATTGTAAAGTTTACTAAGATGAAATTACGATATTTTCATTGTATGCCATGGATAGGTCAAAAATTGCCATACTAATTGTAAGCGGATAATGTTGGGATTTCACAAAGGGAAAATTCATCAAATTATTTACTCATTTAATTTTCAAAAACGTTACTAGATGATTTTTTGAGATAAACGGTCGATTTATACCTAATTATTTAAATATAATATCATATATTGATTTATTAAACTACAGTAAATGTATTTAAGATTATAAACATATCCATAAAATATTTATATATTTCTCTTCTTCTTTCATACTAGTACAATGAAACAGTATTTTAAACAATGTCATTACATTGAGTCGGTGGATTTTAAATACTTTTTTTCAAACTTAAAAACAAAATTTTAAGGTTTACATTTAGTGAGAAAATTTCTTTTAATTTCATTGGAAACATGTGATTTACGTTTAATAATGTTAGTTTTCTTATTTTTCTTTTTTCCTAGACACGAGTTACCGACCGCTTTAATATTATCCCTGATCTCTACCCGTAACTTGTCGATTTTAAAAAGGCTTACGATTCTATTGACCGCCTGAAACTGTATAATATTCTAATCGGGCAGGGGATTCCAAAAAAACTAATAAATCTAGTCAGGATGTGCTTGACGGAGACACTCAATAAAGTTAGAATCGGTAATAATTTGTCCGAAAAATTTGAGGTTCGTTCGGGTTTAAAACAGGGGGATTCCCTTTCGCCTGTCCTGTTCAATTTGGCATTAGAACATGCCATAAGGGAGGTAATGCGTACCGAGAAAGGGTTGGATCTGGAGGGACAACATCCGTGCTGGGCTATGCTGATGATCTGGTACTGTTAAGCGAAGACGTTGAAACTATAAAACTAAATACGACAACGTTAATGAAAGCCGGTAAAGAACTAGGACTCGAAATAAACGTGGATAAATGGCGATACTACTGGTGATATCGATATAGATGGTAATATGTTTGAACAGGTAGATAAATTTAGGTATCTAGGTTCTACGATAACTAGAAAAAACGAAATTGAAGAAGAGATTAAGGTTAGACTGAAGGCGGGAATGCTTGTTATTTTTCTGTGACAAAACTACTTAGTTCGCGCCTCTTGTCCCGAAACTTAAAAATTAGAATCTATAAAACAATTATCTTGCCTACAGTTCTTTATGGATGCGAAACTTGGCCGCTTACATTAAGGATGAGCAGCGTCTTAAGGTTTTTGAAAATAAAGTATTGCGTAGAATATTCGGACCGAAGAAGGATGAGTTAACCGGAGAGTTCAGACGGTTACACAACGCCGAATTGCGTGAGCTGTATCCGGGTAATATAATTGAGGTAATTTCATCGCGGCGAATCTAATGGGCTTGTAAAGTTGTTGGGCTTAGTAACGAGAGAATTCCTAAAAGGTTAATATTAGCTGTGCCGAATGGTAAGCGTCCGAGGGGTAGACCGAAACGAAGGTGGGAAGATTGCATTAAAGCCGATCTGAAGGGACTGGGTTTGGACGGCGAACGGTGGAGGGAGGTGTGTAATAAGCGATTGGTGGTGTCGGCATCGAACCTTCTGGTTCGCTAAACCTTTTATTATTTTATTATTAGGTATTTTCCAAAATAAAACAAAAAAAGTTAAAATATAGTTCTGGACAGTAAGGGGTTTAGTAAATAATCTCTTAAAAAATGTTAGAATAATGTTAAAAAATTGGTATTTGCTAAATGGAAATGATGTATAGGCAAAACATTTAATTTTATTAAACATAAAATTATAATTATAAATATGTTAACATTATTTGGATTGATCTAATCAGAACAGATTTGATATACACACATATATATATATATATATATAATTCACAAATGTTAAAAAAAAATATTAATAATAAATAAAATAAAATAATATGCTAATAAAATATTTAGTATTTTTAAAACAAAATAAAAGTATCATAAATTGTAGTTTATTGTTTTTTTAATCATTTGTTACAATTTTTTTTTCATTATAAAATTAAAATGTAATACGTTTTATTTCATTAATTAATATATTTGGAACTAACTCTGGTAAATGTTACATTTTTAAATGCCTAAACTAAAAAGAAATGTCTTCTTGCAAAAATAATTAATCACTTGGTGCTCAAGTCACTTATCAATAATACTTCGGAGTTGAATGATAAATTTGCTCGAAGAATCATTCGTTCCTCAAATATATCATCGTTAAGACGATTTGATTTTGGCATGTTAGCCATTGTCGCGTAGGAGAAAAGCCTTTCCACCTGTGCACATGATGGCAGTGGTGTATTATATATTTTGAAGATTTGCTCAACCGTTGGATAACTTCTCAGCATTGCAAAATCTCTTCGGGGGTCATTAAAATATTGCATCATAATGGTTTCTGCTTGAGTGTCGAACTTGACTGACGAATCAGAAAAATTG